GCAGATAGGGCTTTTGCAGTGAAAACGAGGCATTCTCAGGAAGGAAACGTGCCGTAGGCTGTCAGTCGAGGAAATTCTGGAAGGCTTTGCTCAACACCGTGGCCGTGCCGGCCACGGGGACGCAGTATCTCGTTTTCTGTGTGGGGTTTCTGGGTTTTTATTGTGTTGCTATAATTTGTTTTGCCCAGAGCGTTTTGTCGCCCACCCATCGATAATTCTGTACGCGTGTCACATGTCCGTATGTGCGTATGCCTGACTGCTGCCCGTCAGCCGGCACAGCCCCTTCCTGTGACCGCTGGGCATGCCTCACGACAGTCCGGGCCGCGCGGCCGCTCCCTGCCAGCCAGCCGGTGGCGGAGTCCAGTTTAGAGGGGTTCCCGGGAGGCTGTGAACAGACACTGAAGCCTGTTCCGAAGAGCCCGGGCTGCCCCTCACTGCCCTCGCTCCCGACTGCCCCGGGGTGATGTGCATGGAGACCCACCCAGGACTGCAGCCAGCGGGGTGGGTCACAGGAGCTTCTGGAAGGTTCTCATGGCCAGCCCTGGGACAAAGGACTGGGGTGGCTTGAGCTGGCAGCGAATCATCACCCAGAGCCACATGGCTGGGACCCAAAGGAGCAGAATGCTCGGCTGACCACACTGGGGGGGCTGCGGGGGGCACGGGCTGAAGGCAAACCTTGTGCCCCTCGGTCCTGAAAAGCTTCATTGCTCAATCTTTAAGTGTGTGTTTAGCCACAGTAAAGCTCTAAAAATATTAGAGAGGTACTTACATTCTACTCTCTTTTAAAGCTATCCAGCTCCTTCTGAATGCAGAGAACAAGGAGGCAAAGTGACAGTTAAAACCCGTCAGCAGGGTCCGCACCCACCTACCCCGGGGGCCTTGTGCAACCCCACAGGGCCAGGCCCTCATGCCCCGGGCATGTAGCACCTCTTCTGGGCCCTGGGAAGGCTCCCCTGGCCTTGGGTTCCAGCACCTACCATGGGGTCAACGAGGTGCAGGGGCCAGCACCCTGCTCCCAGACCACCCCGCGCCACCTAAGGGGACTCGCAGGTGCAGAGCTGATTCTACTTTGTGACAAAAGCAGAGCCCCTGAGAGCAGGGGCCTCTCACCAGGGGAGGACATCTGATTCTGGAAGTGGGGTCCTGAGAGCCCCAAGTTGGAGGGGAGTGTGATGGGTCCACTCTTAAGTCCTCAGGCCACATCTGTGACCGGCGTCCCCATGCCTGTGGTCTACTCTGACCCTGGGGCAGCCCCTCTCCGTGCTCACACCCGCGGCCTTCCACCAGGCCCTGGCCACACCTGGGCGGGGGGAAGCGGGGGGAGGGGGGAGGTGCTCACACCACAGCCCTGGGGCCGGACAGTGTCCAGCACAGAAACGGGACCTGGCAGAGGTGTCGGGTCTCCACCACCCCGATTTCATCAGCCTTACTCCTCAGAGTGTCCTAGCTTGTCATGAAACAGTACCCTGTGGTTGGCTGAAGAGTGACCCCCAGAATTCCAGGTCCTAGTCCTTGGAGGCACATGTGGCTAAATGCGCTTTCCAGACACCGCAGTGGGGAGATGGGAGGGCGGGGGGGGGGGTCACTGGCCCAGCGCGAAACCTCGCAGGGTGCCAGGTGCAGGGGACTGTCTGCACACAAGGACCACTCTGTAAAGGCACGTGGATGATCGCAATGGAAAAGAGACCCAGGTTCTGGCAAAAGCCGCCAAGGATCGAGACCCCAGCAAGGTGACAGATCAACCTTGCCTGCCCATGGAGGGGTCCCAACCCTTCTGGGAAATGACCAGCTCACGAGTCAGCTACCCCCACAGCCCAGCCTCGGCCTTCCTGGAGCCCCCGCCCCAAAACACATGCCAGCACCAACGGCTGCTGTGGGCACTCATGAGATTTCGGCCGCGCACCTTCTACGGCCCCCGCGGTTCCCAGGGGCTTCAAGGGCTCTGATGTCCAACATCGTGGTTAAAACAAAAGGCCATCAAAACCCCAAATAGCCAAGCATCACCTAAAGTACAGCAGATCTGTTCTTAGCTTTAAAGATGAGCCCTAAATCGACCGAGAGCATGATCCCGTCAGGGCTGTGGGGGCCCGTGGGGGCAGACGGTGTGGACTGAGCCTGCTCTGGGCAAACGCAGGGCCCTCCCCCTTGGATGGAACAGGACGTGCGGGCCCCCTGAGAAAGGCTGGTCCTTCCTGGGCCACCTCACTGCCTCAGGTGGGGCCGCAGTGGAACAGTGGAAGGTTCTAGATGAGCCACGCTCCTGAAAAGCAAGGAGCATGGGGGGAGGAGGGCGGGGGCCTTGGTCCCTCTGCTCAGTCCACCCTGAGTACTGCCCCTCCATGCTGTGAGGCCACCAGCTACGGTCCCCATCCTTGGCCCCCAGTCCCGTTAGGTCCCACCTCGGCACTGGCTGGAGGCGGAAAGTTAGGAGGAGGGGACGCCCCTCCGGCTCCTAGACCTTGGCAGTGGCACGGCAGGGGGGTGTCCCGCTTCTGCCCTGCGGCCGGCGGTGCTTCCTGCCAGCGCCATAGGCGGGAACTGCACCCCCTTCCCGGCTGCCCGCAGCTCTGCCACTAACGGCCCGCGCTGGGGCCCCGTGGAAGCCTGGTGTTCCTGCTCTGGCCAACAGCGGTCTGGGTCCCCCCAGTCACAGGGACAGCGCCCCTGCGCACACACCAGCTAACGGGTGCCTCCCCAAAAAGCCACATTTAAAAGCGTTTGGCTCCCAGACACATGGTCCGCCTGCACCCGCAGTGCCGGGTTGTGTGACCACCGCTCTCCCAGCAACAGGGACGACATCCGGCCCAGGAGCCACACGGGGGTCCCAGCACAGACCAAGGCCAAGCACGGAGCAGGTGACCCAGGGCAACACGGACCTGCCCCCAAGGTCTGCCCCCCCGGCGTCTCACTTCCAGGCCACTTCCCCTGCGGCCCGCGCAGCCGGTCCACAGCCCCCACGGGGCGCGCCACGGCTCCCAGAGCCAGCTCCACACCTGGAGCGTCTTCTCGACAGGTTAAAATCTCAAAGAAACCACCTGTGCGCTTCTTCCTCCCGAGCTTTATTCCTCCCCTCGGGGCACAGAGGCGGGGGCCCGGGCAGCAGCTCGGCCACCGCATAGCGGAGACCACGGCCGTGCGGCCCGGCCCGACGTCTCCCGGGCCACCGGGCTCTCAAGCTGTCCCGCATTTCAACGCCACCACACGAGTCGTGGGAACAACGCCCCTGCTGGAGGCTCTGGAGCTAATTTCTCAGATGCCACAGAGATGGACCCCCGAATTGACAGCAGACACACAATCAGTCCTATAAACGCCAACTGGCCGACTGAGGCCTTGGGGCCAAGCCCAGCTCATCTGTGGGTGGCCTGGAGGCTCGGGACGGACAGCCGAGTATTCGCCACAGAAACTGTGGCCGTGAGGCCCACAGCAGCGGACAGTGGCCCTTCCCGTCCGCAGGAGCAGCTCCGGGCCGACAGTGCCTGCAGGCTGCAACAAAGCCCCCCCGGCGCCATGCTTCCCCCCCCCCCGGACAGGTGCCCGCTCACCTGTGGCCTGGCAGAAGAGGTGGAAGGTCCCCAGGGCGTGCACGTGCTGGGCCTGGTCGCTGAGGAGGGGCGGCAGCAAGGCAGTGGGCAGGCTGCTGTCTGGCCCCGAGGCCGAGGCCGGCCAGGGGCTTCGGGGAGAGGAAGCGGAGCCGGGGCCCCGACAGGACAGGGAGGACCCCGGAGGAAGGAAGGGCACAGGTGAGGCTGGAGACAGAAGACAGAAAAGAAAGAGGCCACTGAGGCAGGCGTGCTCCGGTCCCACCGCACGCCGGAGGAAGGAAGCAAAGCAAGGAGGAGAGAGGGCCCCGGGCTGTCCCGACACCTGCTCCCCGGTCAGCGCCCCCGGGGGGAGGGAGGCCTCCTGGCCGCGCCAAATCACATGCCCACATCAAGGCTATAAGCTGCTCATTTATTCGGTTATTTTTCAAATGTATACAATTCAAAGTAGAAAAATAAAAACAAAGCAAATCTTATAAAACACAAACGTTTACACCAAAACGGTCGAGTCCTATCATGCTGAAGAGGATGCTGTCCACACAGGGACACAGAAATCCAGTTTATTGCTCTTTGCCACAGAAAGAGAGCCTCCTCTTGCAGGTGTGTGGGAAGCAGCAGGTTGAGTGTGAAGTCACTGCGGTCAAACCGCCTCGCCCGTTCGCACTTTGAGACACGGCACAGGCCACGCTGGTCCACCCCGTGGCTCCGTGGGGTGCTGAGACACAGGCTTGTCTGGCCACCACTGCCCAGTTGCTTGTAGGTGTGGACAGCTCTGTTCAGCTGTCCGTCCGTCTGCATGGGAGGTTTTGAGCAGTGGCTGTGGGCATCCGATCGTGAGACACGCAACACCTCAGCTCCGGGCCTGGCGGCGCCACTGACCCTGGAAACCCTGCCTGGCTCATGGGAGAGCCCCCCACTGCCCTCTCTTCTTCGAAAGAGTTAAAACAGAAAAAAAAAAAGTATAGAAAGAAAATCTCTCTAAAAATGATGCTTCCCTCAAGGAATAAAATTAAAAAAAAGTGTGCTCAAGAGATGGTTTTGTCTGTTTCTAAAAGCAGAAAGAATGCATTTAGCCAAAGTAAGTTTATCCCTGAGAATCGTAAGCAACGTAAGCTCTATCCTATCCTCACGTAACAGAATCCGGAAGATGTACATCTTCTAAATATTAAAACATCTGCTTTCGTAATTTAAAAAATAAATGACCTAACGCAAGAAAAGTAAAGCCCTACAAAATAATCCCGTGGAAGAAAAGGTTCGTGCCAATCTGGACAACAGGCGCTAAGTTACCAATCTGATAAACAAAAATGCCATTTCCAATCTGGAATGAAATGCTCTTTCAGGGGCCGCTGTTCTGAGGAGGGGGGCATTCCAGGTGCGGGGGTCCGCGGGCCGCCGCAACGGGGCTCAGGGAGCCGGCACCACCACCCGTGGGCCCGTCCCAGACCGCGGCCTGCTGCGGGAGGCTGGGACGTGCTGCTCGCCGCTTTCCGAAAGGACAAAGAGAAACCAAATCACAAGCTCGACCCGAGAGAAAAGACACAGAAGACAGGTGTACAGACACGGGTTCCCCACGTGGCCGCAGGCCGGGTGACCGATGGTGAACGGAGCCCTCCGCGCGGGCGCCTCAGTCCGCGTCCACGTCCGCGTCCGAGTCGGCGTACTTGAGCTCGCACTTGACGTCGAAGGGCCTGTCCCGGGCCGGGAGGTCATCGAGCCGCTGTGAGTCCTCCCTGTCGGTGGGCACCCTGCTGGCCATGGTGTCCTGCTCCGTCTCGTAGCCGGTGTCCAGGGCCGGCCTGGGCTGCCCCCCGTTCTGCTGGGAGAAGCTGCCCTGCTCCACCAGCGTCTCCTTCACACTCTGCTCGAACTCGGAGAAGTCGGCCGTGGGCTGCTTCTTCCCCAGCAGCACCGCCGAGCGGAACTTCAGACACTGGCCAGGCAGGTAGCCCTTGTAGCAGTTGTAGGAAATGAGGCAGAGGCAGAGCATGAAGAAGAGCAGGAACAGGAACATGAGCAGGCGGTTGTCACTGGACTTGAGATACATGGTCTTCTCCGAGTGCACCTGGGGGACCGTGTTGATGATGGTCTTGGGTCTGCACGACACGCCGGTGGGCGCGGGGCTGGGCGGCGGCGGGGCCGGGGTCTGGGCCGGGGGGCCTGGGGTGGGCTCCGTCAACACTCTGAGGAGGGTCCCGTCCCCTTCGGCCCGGGCGGCTGGCAGCGTGGAGGCCGCCGGGGTCCTCGGGAGCACTCTGATCTCCAGAACGTGCTTGGCCACCACCTGCAGGGCTGTCCTGTTCCCGACCCTCTCCTCCGACAGGCATTGGTACACCCCACTGTCTCCCTCCGACAGGTTGGAGATGAGCAAGTTCTTCCTGCCCACCAGCCTGTACTTGGGGCCCTCGGGCTGGAGCTCGTTGTTCTGGAACGTCCACACCACCCGGGCCAGGTTGGACTTTTGGGAGCATTTCAGTTCTGCCGTGCCGCCATGCTTGAAAAAATGCTGCCGGAAACTTTTAGTTTCATCTGGAACATCAAAATAAACGTGCACAGTGTCAACAACCTGGCTTGCTACTTCACGTCTTTTATAAAATAGGTCAACACGCACAAGAGAACACAAGAGTTTCACCCACTGGAGCAACACGGAATCTTCCAGAACAACTAAGGAGATAAAGACATGCGTGACAGAGAAGCCAAGATGAGCCCCGGATGGCAGCCCAGTGGGACAAGGAACTCGGAGGCAACCGAACAGCAGAGATGGCGTCTGGCGCCCTGGCTCCCCGGGAGTCACGTGCCATGTGCCTCTGCTGGTGGCTCTGGGGCTCGCGGCCTCTCGGTGCGCCCGGCGCCCTCTCCTGAGGCTGCCCCAGCCGTCGGGTCAGGGACGGGAGCGCGGCTGCCTTCGAGGGGGCCGAGGGGTGTGCTGGACCCCCGCGGCCAGCAGTGGCCTCCTGGAGGGGCCGAGGACTCCCCGCTCACCGCCCCTCCCTCACCCTCCCAGGACGTTCGGGGTCATCTAAGTGGCCCCGAGCTGAGGGGTAGAGAGAAGCGTCTCGAGAGCAGATGTCATAGGTTGGACGCCGAGTGCCTCCCAATAAACACACACACTACGTGGCTTCAAACACCCTTTTCTGCAAATCAAAGGGATGGCGGGGTCGGCCTCCGTATCCTCACAGATACTTGCTCTCTGTTCTGAGTACAGAGAGACAAAATGTACGAGATGCCACGCCAGTACAGCACCATGACAACGGTCACGAGACCCGGCCGCCTGGGAGGAGCACGGCGAGGAGCCACTTACCTGGGCAGGCGGACGTGTTGCCGCTCATGCGCTGAATCAGATCCCTGCAAGATAAGCAGGCATGGTCACGGTCACGTACGCGCATGCACCTTCCCCACAGGTGGGGCGGGCGGGCTGGCATGCCGCGTCCCCCGGGTACCTGCTGGGGCCGTCTGTCGGCTGCAGGGCCACACAGGCCTCGGTGGCCCGGTTCCAGGCGCAGTAGGGGTCTCGGGCCAGCACGCAGTCCTTGCAGGTGGCATGCTTCTCGCAGAAGGCCACAGGGGCCTGCACCACGCCCGAGCTGGAGCCCGCGTAGACAAATCTTCTGCCCTGCGGGGGTGAGAGACGGAGAGCAGGCGGGTGAGGGGGCAGCCGGGTGCACATGGTGCCAGGTGCGTCTCCAGCTCCGGACGGTGACGAGCACGTTCCCTCGTTTTCTCATCTAGGAGCTTCCAGAGCTACGAGCACCCAGGTGCTGTGTGGTCTGCCAGCCAAGTCCGCGCACTGACGCAGCACTCTGGGCCTCAGTCCACTGCCCGCCTCCCTCCCGACCAGGCGCCTGGGTGGATGCGTGTCTCCCTCTGAGTGGACAGAGCCCCTCCAGCTGGACGCTCCCGGCCCCACCACAGGTCAGAGGCCAAAGGGCACAACTTAGGGCCCAATCTCAGGCCTGTCCGGCGTGAGCAGCCATGAATGGATGGCCCCAGTGGGTCCAAGTCCAGCGGGACCGGGAAAGGGGGCGCCAGCGAGCGGCGGGGGAGCGTGCAGGATTCCAGCATGTGGGATAAAGGACGTGCCAGGCACTGTCACGTCCAGGTTTGCGAGGAACATGTGGCCAGGGAGGCTGACGGCTGGCACATCAGAGAGCCCAGCTCACAGGGCGGCTAACCGCTCTCCTGGATGCAGCGGGGACGGGGCTCCCACGCGGGGACACCACCCGACGTGTAGCCACGGCCACAGGATTGCAGTTCTGCACCTGAGTCTATGCCCTCCTCCGCCCACAAGCCTGTCTCCCCCCGCTCTTCTGGTTAACCCTGAGATTTGCAAGCTTAACAGAATTCAGTGTTTCTGACCCAGATGGGGTGCAGTCTTCCCTCTGGGGGGACAGAGTGGCTGGCGCTCTTGAGTCCCTGGGGCCAGCCTCGGTCTCCTGGCCTGTGATCCCTCCCCCTCCCCGCACCCTGCATGAGCACAGCCGAGAGAAAGGAAGCCCCCTCTGCAACAGACTGTCCTAACAAGCGGCAGAGAGGCAGGCCCAGGGCCAGCGCCTCCGTCGGCCCGCACCGGGCAGATGAGGCCACGCACCTACCAGAAGGACCTAGGATGCCACCCCAGACCACAGTCCAGGCTTCACATGGCTCAAAGAGGCGAGGGTTTCTGGGAGGGCCGAGCGGGTGACTTCGAGGGACCCTAGAGGGTGCAGACACCTGACCCGTGCATGTGACTGTGGGCAGGGGGCCGGTTCCCATCTCCGCCTACAACCCCTCCCCAGGACTTGGCTCCCATGAAGCAGAGCCACAGAGTGACGGATACTGATGGAAGGGGACAGAAAAACACCTGCGAGGGGGCGGCTGTGATGGCCGGTGGGTGCACGCGTCTGGGGGCCAGAGGGACAGACACACAGCAGCCTCGAGGTCTCCCCCAAACAAGTGTTAGCCACGGTGGGCCAAGCACATGCCTGCGCACCCCGGCCCAGCCTGCATGGGCCCGTGCTGTTGCACATGTCCCCAAACCCTCAGCCCCTCCAAGCATAAAGAGACCAGGGTGTTCCATACAACACCGACCAGTTCTCTACAAAGCCACCAAAACAAAGGTAGATGGGGACTATCCCAGGCCACCGGGGCTGAGGAGTGAGCCGCCCTAGGCCACGTGAGGCTCTGGAAGTGGAGCGGACGTTTGTGAGGATGGATGGGCACCTGACGTCTGGGGGCTCCTCCACACTGAGGGAAGGCCCGGGGTCCCTGCCCCTCATCCTAATGCCTCTGTGGACCTCACACTATTTTTAAAATGAGAGGTGTTTGAAAAGACACAGAAAAACAACCACCTGACCAGGTGTGAGGTTTGGGGAGCACGTGTGTGCCCTGGCCCTCTCCCACCCGGCCCCTCACAGGTCCCCGCGCCCCTGGGAGCCCCGGGCTCACACTGTCCCGGCTAGGTCTCTGCACGGCCCCGTCTGACCTGTGCGGAGTCTGGAGCTGAAGGAGCTGTGCCAACGACATGCCCGCCAACACGCAGATGCAGCCCGCGGCCTGGGCTCGGGGGGCCCAGACAGAGCGTGTCTGCTGCGTATTTCCACCTGAACCGAAAGCAGGACTCGGATGTCTGCACACCATGTTCACGGCAGCCTGGGAGGCAGGCCGCCCACGTGCCCGCCCACAGATGGCGGGGACACAGAACGTGGGTGTGCGAACTGTGGAGCATTCCTCCCAGAAGAGAAAGGATATCCTGTCACATGCTACACAGGGCACCCTCAAGGACCTGCGCTCGGTGAGATAAACCAAGACGACAAACGCTGATCCCACTCACATGAGGTCCTGGGGCCCTCAAATCCCAGAGACAGAACGTGGATGGTGGGCACTGGGGGCTGGGTTAGTGCTCAGTGGGAACAGGGTTCCCGTTGAGGTGAGAAGGTTCTGGAGCCGGACGGTGGGACAGTCGCACGACCGCATCAACGTAGTTAATGCCGCTGAACTGTGCCCTTATAAACGCTCGAAGCGGTAAGTGTTAGCAACGTGCGTTCACCACATTAACAAAAACAGAACCACCAAATCCTCGGGGGAGCGTGGACTTTCGAGGGCAGTGCACCAGCCCCTCTCTGCTCCCACAGCCAAGGCCCGCGTGACTGCCCACGAGAGCCTGCAGGCAGCGAGCGGGGACAGAGAGGGGGCGTCTCTTTCACCCCGAACGCCCACTTACTAAGGTCGCAGCTGCACACCCGCCATTCCCGCCTGGGGAGAAGGCGTGGGGGCCCCTGTGAGGACAGACAGATGGCCCCCATGGCTGCCAGGCTCCCTGCGTGGCCTGTCCCCTGGGCGTGGGCCTGTGACCAAGTCCTGGCCATGGGCAGGTGAGCACAGGGCTGACCCGTAACCTTCTCCTTCCTCCCCAACCCTCATCCCCCTACGGGACAGACGCCCACGTGCCCAGAAGCCTGAGTCTCCAGATGACACTGTGGACTGGAGCTATGTTTTCTTTGCGTCTGCACTGGGGGCCCAGCCTTTGGGCTGATGCGCATTCGACAACCTGGAGGCCGCAGGGTACTGGCCGTGGCCTGGCTGAGCAACTGAGCAACACGGCCCCGGGCGGGAGGGCTTCTGGCTTCCTGTTTCCACAGCAAAGGTGGGCGAGTGGGGGCGGGGAGGCACCGATACAGAGTCTCTGGCGGCTTGAAACTCGCCTAGACTATAGGGTCGTCTTCCCCTTTAGAAGCAGAGAGAAAGCCCACGAGGCAGGAGCCGGGAGGGGATGTGACCCTGCGGCGGGGGTTTGGACACCAGATCCAAGAAGGTAAGCTCACGACGCAGGGGACCCGTGTGTGATATCTGCAAATATACCCGTGCTAAGTCCGCGGCTTTCTCTCGTCTCCCACCTGCCTGCGGAGCCCCTTGCCGTGCCCACTACCCTGACCAGGAACCAGGCTGCAGGGACACGCAGAGGGGCTGTGGGGCCGCCACCTTCAGGTGTGAAGCTCTGTCCACACCTGGACAGGAGGCTCAGGAGCGTCCTGGGTCATGGACAGGGAAGTCTCAGCGTGCGAGCAACACCCTAAGAGCAGGGACAGCTGAGCCTGGTGCCCCGAACAAGGCCTTACACCCAGATCCAGGCAGAGGCCATGCTTGCAGCTAGGGGAACGGGAACAGAGCCCTTGGGCTCAGGCTCACAGCGTGGGGACACCCACACGGAGAAGCGAGACCTTCAGCCGCAGGGCAGGGCCACCCCCGGGTCCGATGTCCCCCGGATACAGATGAGGAGACTAAGGCAGGGCTCACGTGCTCATGGTCCTGGCCCAGGCCTGCTTTGCCCCTCATGCTCCACCCCAGCTATAAACGGGGAGGCACATGTCCCAGGCTGTGGGCACAGATGGCAGGGGACGGCCTGCGGCACCTTTCCATCTCCCCAGTTTGCCTTCCCTCCATCCCAAAGCCCAGGGCTCCCATGACCTTCTGTAAGAGGCTGGAGGTTGGCTCCTCTGGACCAGACAGGTGAGCGCTGGCCCGGCCGGTGATACGGACATGTGAGGCCGCCCACCCGCCCACCTGGCCACTCTACCTGCCCGGAATTCAGCAGCAGCGTCTGCACCGGCTCGGGGTCCTCGAAGAGCCGCGTCTCCTCGATGATGTGGGCCTCATTCTCCAGGCTGACCGCTTTATGCAGGGTGCCCCGGTCTGCAAGGACAAAGCTAGAGGTCAGGGACATGCCCGGGAGCGCAGAACAGTCCCTGTTCTTCCTCTCAACTCCCTCCCTCGAGAGGACACAGAAACCGATGCAGTCTGCACTTTGGAGGTGGAAAAGGAAAAGCCACTAGCAAATGCACTGCGGCCTCTCGTGGCCTGGGTCAGCACCACCGTTTTCTGAAAAATAGGCTTAACGCATCATTGCTGACTCCACTGGGGATCGGGGCAAAGAGATGGTGCCCGCAGGTTGCAGGAGAGGTGGCTCCCGGGCCCCACTGGCCCTCGGGGGTGCTGTCCCGTGAGAGGCGTGGGCAGGTGAGGGCAGGACCCCACCTGGCTCAGAGCTCGCTGGAAAGCCCCCAGGGCCGGCCACGGCGCCCTCTCCCAGGATGGGCTCCCATGGCAGGTTGGGACGGGCCTTCAGCCGGCTGCATGGACACCACCCGGACCCCCTTTGTGTGAGCCTCAGCCACCGTGCCTGAACCCCCAGACGGGGGCCAGGACTTGCGTGGCCGCAGACCTCGGAGGCCAGTACCAGGGACTCTTCCATAAAGCACCGCCGGCTCCCCACAGCAAGCATGAGCCTGATTGGCTGGCGTCTTTACCGGGGCCAGGACCCACCTGTGCCGACAAACATGACGTCGTAGACGGTCCCGTCCAGGGCCTGCATCCTGTCCACCACAATCTGCGTGTAGTTCACATCACTTCGGATGAGCCTGGGCCTGTTGTCTATCGGGGTCACGGAGCTGTCCATCAGAGGGTGGTCTTTGACAAACTGCAGGGTCTTGTCTGGTAGACTGAGGGAGCTGGAGAAGTTGGCGGCCCGCGCCTCGCGGTTGATGCACTGCGGAGGGCAGAGCACCCCGTCAGCACGTGCACCGGCCACCCGCACCGGCCGCCGCACGCGCTTCCCACACGACCCCCGCGAGGCACAAAGCCCACTGCACGGCAGGTTCATCGGAAAGGCCACGAGATAAAATTCCACGAGACACAGTCGGTGAAGTCGTTGGTACCTGTTTACAAATCAGAGCAATGTATCAAGCTTCTGAAACTGAAAACGAAGTACTTATCGCTTGGTAGCTCTTGCACAAGAATGCTGCTAAAATCACTAAAAACAGCCCAATTCCAAATAGCACAAAGGTCAAGCGTGAGAGGAATTCCTTCTTCTGTTCCTAGCTCTTGGTATGCGTGAGTGAACGCACTTTAGTTCGGAACAGGCGTGGAGGGATCTGAGCGCTGTCAGCCGATGGGCACCCCAGGGACGAGACCCAGTCCTGGGGGGGAGTGAGCCTGAGCGCCGGCCATGCGCCCGGCCCCCTTTACCTCCCTCGGAACCCGCAGCCTCCGCCCCCCCCCCCCCCCCCCCCCCCCCCCCCCCCCCCCCCCCCCGGCCCACTCACCGCCCCGGGCCGCGGCGTGGGCACGGCCCCGTTGTAGCGCACCCACTTGGTGTGGGACTGCTCCACCGTCGTGCTCTGCATGTACTTCCCATGGGAGAAGACCGCCTCCGCGGTGGACAGGTTGTAGGCGCACACGGCGGACAGCCCCACGTTGTTCCTGGGGAGGAGGGGACAGCGTGACCGCGCCAGCGGGTGGGCATGCCAATGACGCCCCCCGGCCCCCCGGCCCCCCGGCCCGTGCACTCACAGCTGTGGGGTGAAGACCCCGTAGATCACGGGCTCCTTCAGGCCCTGGGCCCTGAGCACGAAGACGTCCTGCAGCACGTTGAAGACGAGGTTGCTGTCCGGCCGCGAGCAGATCAGCCTGGCCTTCAGGAAGGATGTCCACTTCTTCTGCAAGGTCCGCAGGCCGCCCTGGTCCCCCTGAAACCCGAAGGAAGAGCGTGGTGGGGGAGGGGTGGGACCTGGGAGCGATCCACACCAGGCGGGGTCTCCGATCAGAACACAAGTCACCTTGTGGCAGCTGGGGCCACAGGTGGGCCGCACGCACCCGGCCTCATAGCTGCGGATGCCCGCCAGCCTTATACACCACTGTCCCCGGTGAGCGAGCCATGGACTCAGGGCTTCCGTCCGCCTCAGTCCTCCTTGCAGAGGGCATGGTCATTTCTAAGGGCTTTGCCGGGTCCTCCATAAACACATTTTCGTGAGCTGGCCCCAAGGGACGTCTGATGTGCCCCGCTCGGGAGACAGCCCCAAAACACAGAAATCTGGATGTGGGAGACGTTGGAATCCAAGCGTCCTTACTTATTTTGGACACGAGAAACACCCCCCTCCCACCTTTATGTTGGAATGCTGAAATCCCAATTCCAAGAGAATCGAGCTCACACAGTGAACAAAAACCTTCTATAACCTGGGAGGTCTGGGGACAGTGTGTAAGAGGCAGGCCTGCTGAGGCCGGACAGCTGGTCACACGTGGGGCGCCGACGCGCCCAGCGTCTGCAGGGGGACTCCCCATCCAGGCTTCCCCCGGGGCAGGCCCAGCCCTGGCGGCCGTCCACACGCATCCGCGGCACAGAAGGATGAAGCAGTGGGGTAAATCGACATTTTGGAGGAAGCTCGGAGCCTGGGCCATGCAGCGAATCTTCCAGACACGCAAGCGCCCCGGGCCAGAGCCACCGGGAAATCAGGGGCCGGACTCACCTTGCACACCCGCGCCACCCGCGGGATCATCAGCTTGAAGACAAACTCGTACTCCACAGACACCTCGGTGAAGAAGAAGTAGACGCGGTCACCCCCGCTGTCCACGCCGTCTGGGCGCTCTCGCATCACGTCAGCGAAGACGAAGCTTGGCTCTGCAAGCGACAGACACACGGTCGTCCCTCCGTGCACCCCCGGGGGCACACGACGCAGGAGGGGGCGTGCGCCATGTCCCTCCCCAGGCCTGGGGGTGCGGAGACCATGAGACCTGAGACCATGCCTGTGAGAATGGGCAGCCAGCTCCCTGTCCCCGGGCACCCACCGAAGACGCCGCGTGTGCTCAGACAAGCCCCCAGCCAGCAGATCCAGGTGCCCCAGCCCACCCCACAGCGAGGAGCAGCCAAGGGTCCCCCAGAGCCCCCGCGACTTCTAAGCCCACAAGAGCCCCATGTGAGCAGTTGCAGGACCCCGCTGTGTACACGCTGTCCCGAGGGGAGTGGCCCGGTCAGCCCGAGTCACCACCAGGCCCTCATGTCGTGAAGGACAGTGCCCGCATCCGTCTTCAGGGAGGGGAAGGCGGCCCCGAAGCAGCAAGGGCTCCGCGGGGAAGGACCCAGCCTGGGGGCACCGGCTGCGGAGTCCTGGCCACTCCAGAAGCTCCCTATGTGGGGGCTGCCAAGAGCTGGGGCGGGGGGGGTGCGAAGGCCCTCGGGGAGGCTCAGAGCCGCACAGAAACACGGCGGCAGGGGCACCTGCCTCTTACCGTTGAGCCACGGTATCGCATACTCCGTCCTCAGAGGGCTGTGCGACGAGTTTCGGGAGATGATGGGCTCGCTTCCCAGAAAGTTGTAGGATGTCCCGGAATACAGCTCCCCATCTTGGGCGGATCCAGAGGAAAGAGGAAAGGGGGTCAGCCGCAGTGCTCCCATCACAGCTGGGCACGAGCCCCTCCCCAGCCCCCCCAGAAGGGGGACAGACCACGGCCCTGCTCCTGGGCATGCGTGGCTGCTTCCCGGGCCTTCTGCTGCATTTCCAAAACCAGGATAATTGTGCACTCCACATGAAAGGTGCTTTTCGAGGGCTGGGGCGCTAACACCAGGTGACCCCACACCCGGGAGGTGACAGACATAATGGTGGGTGCGCGGGGCTCCCGCTCTGCACGGACCTCCCTCCAGGAGCATGGACAGCGTGAACGAGAAGCCACGTGATTTGCACGAATGACAAATCTAAAATAACCCCTTCCCACAAATCTGGGTTGTGGCCCCGGGCGGTGGCCGGTCACCCTTTTGCACAATGAGTTCAAACACTCATATGGGGGTCTACGGAGAGGCCCGTGTGCCTTCTGAGAGGACAGGGAACATGGAAGCAGACGGAGGGAGTCCCCGTGCGGGGGAGGGACCCGAGCCTGGCCGCACGCTAACCTAGGGGCAGGACTCACCAACCATGACGGATGTGTAGCTCTGTGCTGGGTCAAAGGGGCACCTGCCCTTGCCATCCTCATTTCTCCCCAGGAATTTAAAGGATGTTAAGTTCTGCAATTGAATGAGAAGAAAGAATATCAGGAAATGTCTGAATTTCTATGCTTGCAGTGCCTGGGTGCTAAACCACTTCCCAGATGTGCTGTCCGGGGTGGGGGGTCGGGGTAGGAGCAGGTGCACACAGCCACGCGAGTCCCAGGGCTGGACGCCAGCATCTTGAGAGCCGCACAAGATCTAAGAGCCTCAGATCCAGTTGACTTGGCTCTAAGATGCCCACGGCTCCGGGGTCACAGGGCAGCTGGGGCAGACCTGGGGCGGGAGGCGCTGTGCCAGCAAGCGAACGCTGTATGCGGGATTTCAGTATCAAAACGGCAGCATTCGAGGCAGTGGGGCCCAGACCACCCAAGAAACAGGTGCCTGGAGAAAAGCAGAATTTCCACCTCATTCCACCCCATTCTGCACTCACACACAGCAGGGGTGACCTCAGGCTTGGGCGTCCCTCTTGGCCCGACCAGGAGCCCAAAACCCTGATGCGTAAAGGGTGGGAAAGCTTTGTGCACGGACGCCGAAGCCGAGTTCGACAACAGGTAACGGGGAAGGGCCTACGCAAGGACAGCCGAGGGGGGATGTCAGAGAAGAGACCCGTCTGCGGGACGCAGAGCTAGGGAAGGATGAGCAGCTGGGATGACAGCGCCACCTCCAGCCCTCCCCACCTGCAGAAGCTGAACACCACACGGGGCTGCGGGGAGTGGGTACGCGGCCGGGAGGGAGGGGAGCAGAGCGGACGCGGGGTGCTCGCGGGCCTGGGGAGGCCATGGGCTCAGGCCAGGGATTACAAGCCAGGGTGTGAACGAATGGATCACGGGTCTAGGGAGGTCGGGGGGGCGTGTGAACGAGGGGTCGGCACTGAGAAGAGCGGTTGATGGGAATGACTGTGCATATTCGCAGGGAATGACAGGCTTGGCTCGGCTGTGCAGGGAAGCGCCGCTCTTCCTAGCCCTGCGGGAGCCGCGGGTCACGGGGCAGCGTGCCTGCTCCCACCCCTGCCATCAGCCTGTGTCAGCTTCAATGTTTTTATTAAAAATACTGGAAAAAATTATAAGTCCGGATTTAAATGGGATGCCCAAATCCCTTCCCTAACAACTGACAGGCCCATGGGATCGGAGTTTACGCCCCAGAGCTCAAAGCCGATTGACTAGAGCTCAGCCTACAGATCCCCAGATGTGCGGACTTTTCTAATATGACCTGGCATGCTTTTCCCTGACACAGAAAGAGGCCAAGTCTCTCTGCGGGCCCAGACCGCCGGGCTGACCAGGCCGCGTGTGCACCTGCCCCGGGGATCTGTGCGCAAACACGGTTTCCCCAAGCAAGTCCTTCATTGGCCCCTACTTTGTGCTGTCATTGATGTCTGATTCAAGGCTGAAGAATCTTCCTTAAATTCCCACTGCTTTGGGGTTTCAGCCAAGGAAGCTCTTCCACTCCCCCCACCCCCACCGCCAGTACTAAGTCAGGGGCAGTCACTGTAAGATGAGCTTGTCAATCCACAGGTGCACACTTGTCTCCTCTCTCTGTGGCCGTTCTACATGGTTCAGCAAATGCCTGAGCAAAAGGAGCTTCTCCCAGCAAGACACTGCCATCCACTGTGCTCCGTCCTTGCAGCTCCCTGTCGGCGAGGGGCCGGGAGGACGGGGTGGGGGCCCCTCTGCAAAGACCCTCATGCAGCACAAAGTAGGCCGAGGCCAAGAGGACCGATGCGGGTTGGAGAGGGAGCTGTTCGCACACAGGATCGTTGCCCCTCGAGGGCGTGCGCTCCAGCACCTTGGTCAGCGGGCTCTGCATCCACAGCCCAGGCCACGTGGCGAGGCCCCCGCGAGCCCGGGCTGCCGTGAAGCAGCACAGACGGGCGGCCTCCAGCACTCGCGTCCACTCCTTTCAGCTCTGGAGCTCAGGTACCAGCTGGTCGGAGCGTGGTGAGGACTTGCTCCCTGGCCGGCAGGCAGCCCACCGCCCCCCCCCCACTGGCCTCACATTTGGAGAGAGCTCATAGGCCCCATCTCCGAACACCAACACACAGGGGGATTAGGGCTTCCCCATGTGGATTTGGGGGACACAAACATTCAGCCCATAGCACAGGTGAGCCCACAACGTGCCAGCCAGGAGCAGAGCCCTGACTTGTCCATCAGACCAGGATGCAGGTCACAGCAGGCCTCCCCACAAGCACAAAACGTGGCAAGAAGGATGCAGGAGGCCAGACCACGGCATGCTGGTGCTGCGTGTGTCAACAGCACACTTCCCAGAAGGTGCCCCCACTGCCGGCTCCGTGCCGTGGGCCACTGGACCCCTGAGTCCTGCCATGTCATGCCCTCAGCAACACTGGGCTTCCGGGAGCCCGGCGAGTGGCCCGCGGCATCCCGAGGCGCCCCTGCCGCCGGCCGTTAGAAAACCTCCTGCTCTGCAGAGCGGGGAGCCCCGATGCTGCCCCGGGAGGGGTGCCTGGCCTTACCAGGTGGTCACAGGCCGGCTGGAACGCGTTGGTGCCGCACACGTACAGGGCGCGGGCGCTGAGCGGCTGCAGCACGCGGATGTAGTTGAGACATTCAGTCTGCAAGGGACAGAGGCGCGCATCAGCTGCTGGCCGGCTCCTGCTGGACACCCTCCACTACCCGAACTTCAGGGCGCGCGGCCGGCAGGCCATGACCAGCCCCCACTGTGCCTCCCTGCCGCCCCCACCAGCACCTCGGCTAGCCCCCGTGTCACGTGCTCGCTCGGCCCGTGCTTGCTTGGCCCTGCCCGGGCGGTGGGGCAGGTCCTGGAGCCAGCCTCCCCCCGCCCAGGACAAACCTCCGTCTGCAGCATCCACAGGCCAGCCGTCAGGGGCCAGGACCTCCCCCCCACACCCCGGTCACTAATTCACCCTCAGCAAAGCCGCGCTGACCTCAGACCTTCCTGGACTCCCGCCACCGAAGAGACGCATTTACTCTCCCTCGACACTCGGCACGTGCCTTGAGGCGGCCGGTGCGTGGCATCCCGCCTGCCGTCCCTGTCCCCGGGGACCCCGCCCCGCCCGCCCCGGTGCGCGGGGCTGGAAGCCATGCTTCTCTGGGGACAGGCTGGGCGAGGGAGGGGCCTGAGGCTGTGCGCACACGAGAAAACCAGACACCAACAAAGAACATGCTATTTTAGGCTGAAATGAACGTGCTGGCATTATACGTGCTATTGTCTGAAATTATCTCTGCTCAGGGAAAGTTTTTGTTTTTTTTTCTTTCCCCCCCAGGACTGTTTTTAATTGGTTGGCAGTAAGTCATCCTCCCCACGTGAGCTGGGAGGGACCCTTGTCCACGTTGGTCTGTGCAAGCACTCGGCCTAATTTAGCTCTCAGACAACTCCCTAGAACACCAGTGATTACCACACAAAGCCTGCATTTTCCCATTTCCTAAAGCAACTTCAGATCTAGTGATTTCAGCAAAAGTGTTTAATATTTTGCTAAAAAAAAAAGTTCAGCAAAAACTTTTTTTTTCATTTTTAATGATTTTGAAATTAGCCAACAGCCAAAATCCACCCCAACTCAGCTTTTCTGCCCTACTACCAAGGAAGATGGGGCTCTTACACTGGGAGACTCGGGCACAGGCCGGGCACCCGACTGGGGCAAAGGGCCTAACCAGTGGTGGGGTAACCTGAGCCCCGAGGGGGGGGAGGTGGACCCTCGGGCCAGCGGTGCCCGCATGGCCAGCATGCCGAGGTGCCCAGTGTCCCCTAGAGAAGGAGCAGATTCTCAAGGGATGATCGCTGCCCCAAATTCAGAAGTCCTACAGCAACCCCTCCAAGCTGTTGGGGTGCTGGGGAGGCCTGCACCCTGCATTTCACACCTTTAGCCAACAAGCACCAGAAATTATTTTCTCTATCAAGTTTGAGTCCATCTGAATAAATTCAACTAAGTTAACCTTTACCAAAGTGTTTTTTCAAGTGCCCCTCCCCCACCCCGCCGCGGGCTCCTGCCTTGAGAGACCCCGCCTCAGCATTTGGGCACAGAGGACAACCCCAGGATGGTTGTGACCGCGTCACCAGGGGGTTCTGAGACCAGAAATTACCTGTCTTGACTTCCCCTTTTCGGCACATTTTGCTTTTTTATCTTCTGAAACTCTCCAGTATGCCTGTTAAGAGAAATGAGAGTCCATTTCAGTGCATATTCCCCGTTCAAAAGGGGATGCTGGCGTTAAAATGCACGGTTTACAAAGCACATGGTGCCTCAAGGGGTACGGATACTCCCCCCTGACAGTGGAAGTGAGACTGCAAAGCGAAGCTCAGCCAGCGGACGTCGAGGTCCCGAGCGACCGGGGCTTCTAGAACATTCCACCTGAGACCCCCACCGAAGCCAGCAGCACCCGGCCTCCCAGATTCCCATGGTTCGCTGCAAAACTAGCAGCCAGTGCTAGAGTACTAGCGCTGAGGTTTTCGGTTATCAACCGGCTAGACCACAGGTACCCTCAAACAGCCACGTGGGTTCCCGGGACCATCCGTGGACAACACGACAGCAGGACCCCCCCCCATGCGTCCTCCCATGACCTGTGCTTCTGCTGCCTTCATGCCCCGTGACGCACGATCAGAACGGGGCAGCCCGTGGGGGCCTCATCCCTGCCCTCCAGAGAACCGGAAGCCACAGGCCACACCACATACAGCCCCTCGACTGCTGCCTCGCCTTCCCCAGGATGCCCAGTCTCCACGTGTGATGACCCACGACGGGCGCCCCGACAACCGGAGCCAGCCGCCGGTGCCCAGAGCTCGGGAAGCGCCCGGAGCTTCTCCACGGCAGCAGGCGATTCCCCGTGCACGTGGTCCCACGCTAAGCGTCCTGCACAAACTCGCTCCCTGCAAGGCCCGACCAGCACACACATCACCAGCGGTGTGTTTCCAGAGAGACAGAAGTCCTCATCAGAACACACAAATGCAGAATCATGTCCCGCGGCCGAAAGCAGCTCCCTCAGAAAGCAAAATGCCAACGATTTCATCTCCATCTATACAAAACACGTAGGGACACGGGAGCATGAACGTGGACGGGCCCCTGGCCGTGCTCACCGGGTCCCGAGAGGACATGGGACGCAGTAGCAGAGAGCAAAAAACCAACCCCAACCCCTGGGCTCGTGTCTGAGGACCCAGCGGTCGAGAGGCCACCACCGGCCTGGAAAGGACAAACTGAGCACCAGGCACAGCTCGGGCAGCAGCGGAGCTCCCGACACACTCCGATTTGTGACTCCGAGGTCATTCTGAAAATCCAAATAATTGAAATACCACTACTCAGAGAGAAGGAGGTCATTAAAAGGAGGTCATTAAAGGAGATCATTAAAAGGAGGTCATTAAAAGGAGGTCATTAAAAACACGCAAACGAAGGCCAAGATTTCAGGGGCTGACCCCTCCACTTCCAAAGGAACTGGCCCCAGGGGACGTGAACCCACTTGCTGACGGCTTCCTGCCCCCACGTGGAGGAGGAGAGGCCGAGCTGGGGAGTCCCAGACGCAGCGGTGGCTGCCCCGCGGGACCTGCCTCGGCAGAGGGGCCTGCCCGTCACTGGGACGCAGGAGCGGCAGTGTGTTCCCAGCGAGGGGCCAAGGCGGCGGTGGGACACGGACACCTGCCGGGCAGAGTGGCCGGCCCCATGGACGGCCTGATTTCAGCCGGATTCAAACGTCATTTATGACAGTCCGTGGAATCAGAACACCAACCATTTGATGACATTTTTTGGATGTGACTGTGGTATTTTGGTTATTCTGACACAAAGGAGTCCTCTCCTTGAGGAAGGGGACACCCAGGGAACCCCTCACGGATGAAGAGCATGTTTGGGACTTGCTTCGAAGCCTCCAGAGGCAACGGAGCACCAGGACATGGGTGCAGGAGGGTGACCCCGGGCTGCAGGAGCCGAGTGGGCAACAGGCCTCCTCGACACCACTCCCTCGACTTCTGCGTGTGCTCAAGATGTTCCATAATGAAAAGATAAAAAGTTCAAGAGGAGAGGACAGAGGCCCCCGGGTGAGTGGCCAGCGTGGGAGGACGGAGCTGCTCGGAGGCAGGGTGGGAAGGCGGCTTTGGGGTGACAGGCCCCTTGCTTGCTGGTGGGCAGGAGGCTGCTGGCCCGGCGTGCAGGATGGCGGTGGGGCCGGCCATGGCGTGAGCAGGCTGCGTGACCAGGAAAGTGCCCGATGCCCCAGGAGGGGCCCAGTGCAGATTGGAGGAGAAAGCACCAGGAAGGTCTGCAGCCCACATGGCAGTCGAGCGGGAGGCCACGCCTTACCTCGTGCTGCTTCACGGAGATGTTGTGGGCACTCAGGGCAAACACGGCTTCCCGGGCACCCACGTACAGGGTGGTCTTGTCCTCGCTGAGCAGCAACACCGAGTAGTTGAAGATGCCTGGCTCGTGAAACTTCTCCAGGTGCACCTCTGTGGAGGGAAGAGAGAACATCAGACATTTCCCAGCCTGGACACACCGAGCACCCCGTCTTGCTGTAACACACGGTCATGTCGCCAGGGCCGTGCGTGGATCCCCTGCCCGAGGTCAGCACGCAGACCCGCTCAGACAGTCACTACAAGCATGCGACCCTGCAAGGCCCCCGAGCCACTGTGCTCGGCCAGTGCTGGGGCCCGGGGTCCTTTCTTGCTCCTCCAGTGCAGTTCCAAACCCTGCACTCGACGTGGCCTCCAAGGAGCGTGCCCTCCCAGGAGCGAGCATGACCTCCAAGCATGTGACCTCCCAGGCAACCCCAGGCTGCTGACCACTCTGCTTCCCACGCTCTCATGTACGTGTGTTTAATCTTAACACAGATTCAGTACATAAAAGATATAACTAAGCTTTTCTTATTCAGGAAAAAAACACGATGTAACTCAAAAGCTTTAAAAAAATCTAGTTCAGTAAATATATCCCTTAACCAAAGCATTTTTTAGGGATAAGCACCATGAGCTTATAAACCAGAGAAACAGTGATGTCTCCTCTCTTACGAGGAAATCGCACGGACAAGTAGGACTACCTGAATCGGGACAATTGGCAGTGACATGAACGGGTTGGCACAGTTTCTCAAGGCCTGACCGTCCCGGCATCAGCAAAAGCGGTCTGAACTTGGGTTTCGTGGACCGCTGGTTTCATGTAAGGACCAGGTATCCACTCATTCTGCTGTCTGGATTTTCCCAAGCTGGAGACAGACGCGCAGAGGAAGGCTGTCCCGGCGCGCATGCGGCCGGGGATGCCGCACAAGACAGCTCAGCCCTGCAAGCAGCCCTCACTCCACTCACGGGGGAGCCCAGGGCTCTCAGGACGCAGCTCCCAGCAGGGGAAATGGACAGAAACTACGGATGGCAAATGAGAGCACTTGGCAGGAAGCCTGGCCGCCTGTCATTAGATGTCCTCAAACAGGGTATTTAGAGAGGTTCGTGCCCGGGGAGCACACCACATCCTCAGGCTCTCCAGGGGTCCTGGCTTTAGAAACCTAACTGGCAGCCCCTGAACACACCGGGCAAGTGTTCCGTGTGACCCAGGCACCTGCCCGCCCGCAGGGGGCCGGAGGCAGACCCAGCACACACAGCGGAGCCCATGCGTCGACCGCGAGAGCAGGGCTGGCCCGTACCTCTGCGCTCCCAGGTGATCCTGGGTTTGGGTGCAAACGCCATCGCCATCCCAAACAGCATGGCGAGGGCAGCAAGCAGCCCCCCGACAGGGGCGCACATCCTCATGCGTGGGCGCCGCAGAGGGGGCTCAGGCAGCAAACGCTCGTGGGCCTGGGGGCCGCGGTGGGTGTCCCGGCGGACGCTGCTCAGAGCCTGGGGGCTGTGACCAGCGGCACAGCCCGTAGCTGGTGGGCGGTGCAAACCCTTCGGACCCGCATTTCCCAGGCGCCGGGCGAGGTCACCACCGCCAACGTGGAAGGCCACCGGGTTCTTAAACTGTGTGCTTCTTTTTGGCTTCACAAAGAAATTCTGGAAGTGAGGACAAAGGTTACAGGTCAGGATGCGTGTAGTAACACCCGCTTTCTGTTCCCCGCTGTGCCCCGAGCTCTGTCTGCGCAGGGGCGGGGGGTGGTGCGGGCACAGCCCCACGCTGACCCTGAGACCGGTCACCAAAAGCAGAGTTCCAGGGCAGACATGGGAACCCAGACTGGGACGGCCGCCCACCTGGCTGCCCGGCTTCCCCCCTTGCCAGACACTTGTGGCCCACTAGTGACCTTTGCAAAGGTGCAAACCAGGGAACCAGATCCCCCACAGACCCTGGCTTCCCAGCTCCTGTAACGCTTGTCAGGGAGGTCAGCCAGGGCGAAAGACCAAGAGCACCACGTGGAGGCTGAGCTGTGTGCATGTAGGCACGCTCACACTGCACGCGTGGGAGCACGTACACACGCGCAGATGCACATGCGACGTTGCCGTGCAGGACAGCTGACCTCCTGCCGCAGACAGGGCCACCCCCAACGCCCTGCTCCCCCAGCTGCACCCAAGAAGTCGCTGTGCCACAGAAAGCGCCGTCAGGGGCTCTTGGGGTCCATGGGGAGCAGCTCGTTGGAAGGACAGAGGGTGTGGGCGGGGGGTCTGCAGGTCTCCCAGCCCCCACGCTCTGCCCCACACGCCATCCGCAAGGTGCCCTGTGCCCTGCAGTGGGGGCGGGAGAGTCTCACTGCAGACCGCTGAGGCAGGGCCCCGCCAGGACCCCAGTGGGACTGTGACATGAATTTCTTCTGGCTTCTCAGGATGGGGCTGTAACCAAACAGCTGTGGGAGCAAGGGTAGAACCCACATCCTTCTCAGACATGCTGCCCCCAGGGAGGCCCCACACGAGATCCACTGCCCCCCCCACCAGGTTTCCTCTTCTGCGAAATGCCGGAGCGGCCTGCCTCCCGCCCCCCAGAGCGGGCCCTGCTCACCCCCTTCTCTTCCTTCCATCCCATCAAGTCAACCCACCTGCAGGTCTCTCAGGCCCACAGGTCCCTGGGCCCCTCTCTGGAGCCTTCCCCCCACCCCCACCATCACCACCCCTCAGGGACATCCAAGGGGCAGCCAGCTCCATACCCCCCACAAGAGTTCCCTCCTGCTCAGCCTCCCCAGGGCCCCCACAACCGACCATATACCAGCCCCTGCTGCTTCCTGGCACCTCAGCCCAAACCAAACCTCCCAAGAGGGTTTGAGGGGAAGTTCTGACTTTCTGTTCACCTAGCCAAGCCACTACCTCCAGGAAGCCCTCCTGGGCTGCCTCCTCATCCTGCCCAGGTGGTCACCTCTCATGCCCCTGGAATCCTTGTCTGGCCCTAAAGTCCGGCACGTAGCATGGCTTGCCCTCGGCATCACTGTGGACTTAATGGGGTCTTCTTCATTGTATCTTTGTCTATTATGCCAGTGCCCAGGGCACCACACCTGCCCCACTCCACTTGGTAAAGAAAGGACTCGTGGGGGGCCCCGGGGGACGGCTGAGATGTGGGCACGGCCAGGCCTCAGCTGCTTGCCCCCCCTTCTTGTTGGGGCACCGCTCTGCCCTTCCCCTTCCTGCCGAAGGTGTGCCGGCCAGGTCTGTTCACTCAGTGTCTGTCCTCACCCCAATGCCACTGTGTGGCCGTGAAGCCAGGGAGTCGCTCTTTCCGGGGACTGGCTCCCCCTGCACGGGGGCCAGCACCTTGCTCCATGAACGGCCATCACATGGGCATTCTTTCCAGGTTTGAGTTGTGCGGTCTCTGTCCCAGGTACTCATGTCCACCAGGGAGCGCAAAAACAGCCCCAGAGATGCATGAAGGGACGCGGCCGGGCACCAACACAACTATTTACAGAACTGGGCACCGGTCTGCAAGCCGAGTCCTGTGCTGGGGACCCACGGGGACGGCCAGCCCAGACACTCGGCAGCGCAGCAAGGGCGGGACTGGACGCTAAATGCAGAAGCAGACGCACCGGGAAGCGAGACCAGGAGGGACGGAGGGAGGGCTGCGCCACGGAGCGAGCTCACGGAGTGCTCACTCTCCAGGCAGCTGGCTCTCAGGAGGGCTCACCGCATGAGGCCGCGCAGGAGACCCTGCTCTCCCGCCCACAGCACGGGAATGGGGTACGAGGTGGGTCCGGAAGCCCAGCCAGGGGAGGGCTCTAACTGCGCCGGGTCCCCGATGTGGCCCCCCTGGTGAAGCAGCCCCACGGCGTCCAGCAAGCACTAAACACTCCTGCAGAAATCCTCTGCAGCTGCAGGACACCGAGGCCCTGGGGACGGGCTGTGTGCACGGGTGATGCTGACAGCTCAGGAGTGCTGGGCTCCCCCCCCGCCCCCCCGGGGGCCATCTCCACCACTGCTCCAGGCTGCACAATGCCCACACCCCCATCCTGACCCCTCCACAGCTGCCTACCCTTCGCCCTGCTTCCGTTCTTGCCGCCTGTGGCAGAGATTACCCACTTCCTGTCCCTGCATCCATGTCCCTCCATTCTTATTAACAGAATCTCGGTTTTACCCAGGACAGCAGTGCAGCCAGCTAACTATGGCCCCCAGCCCCCTGGTGGCGGCTCCAGCCAGAGAACTGCAACCAGAAGTTATTAGGTAGGAGTTCCAGGAAGGCTCTTAAAGAAGGCGGACTCAGCTAGTGTTTGCATCTTTGCCTTCAGTCTTTCCTCTGGTGCCTGGAACTCGTATTTGATGGCTGGAGATCTGGGCGCCACCTTGTGAACATGAAAACTAGGGTCTCATTCTACAAACAGCCAAGCGGAAATCCACTGGGGGCCCTCCCAACATACTGGAGACCTCACACCTGCTTTCTTCTGCTTGCCCCTCGACCTGCTAAGTAAGCCAGTAATCTCTTTAAACTACTGTTTTCCAGGTTTTTATTACCAGCAGTCAGATATAACTCCAAACAGATACCTCCCTATAGTAAGTACATTTACTAAACAGAGGCAGTGGCCAGAGTAAGGTTTTCGATGTAAATCAGAGCACATCATTTGCCCACACGAAAACGTCTCTCTCTCTCGGATTAAACCAGCGTGCACGGCTGCGGTTCACCTCCCATGCAGCCTCTCCTGTCTCACGCCCCCTCCACTTTTCTGTCCAGGCCACGTCTGGATGCACAGAGTGTGGCCTGTCTAGAAGGCTGCCTGTCAATGCCATTCAGAACACTTCCAAATGTGTCTGTTCTGGAGATGAGGTGTGTAAACCCCACGAGCACAGTGTCGCCAGTTTTTACCCAAGAAGACGTTCCCTCCCTGTGACTGATCCTGTAGGCCTCTCCGCTCTGGGCCCCTACTCAGCTGTGGGTTTCTGGAATGCGTAAGCGAGTCCACAGCCCAGGGCACCTGCTGGCTGCAGATTCGAGCCCCGCTGGCCCATTTCATCACCGCCCCCCCCACCCCCCTGCCAAATATCACCGTGGAGCTGAGTTTGGTTTTCAAGGACCCAATGGCAACACCGAATGCCTGCTCAGGTCCCCAGCAGAAGTCACTTTTCTGGGCAGCCAGGAGAGGACCCACCCACATGGGCGCCAGACGCTAGGCAGAATGTCCAGTTGAAGGATGGGAAGATAAAATTGAGGTGGCTTCATCCAAGTTGCACAAAGGGGCTCAGATAAAAACCGGGAAAGGAGACGAGGGAGCTGGAGCCTGGAGCCTGGAGGTCCACGTCCAGCTCCAGAGGAGGGCGGAGGACACACAGAGAAGGAACAGAGAAATAAGAAATGTCTAGAACAGGAGGACGCGTGTTTACAGCATGAAAGCCCCTCACAGCGCAATGAATGAAGACCACACCTGGAGCTCCCCGAGAGAAAACAGGCCATACAGTGACCTCTCCAGAGCCACCCTGACAGCTGGGAGAAAGCAGAGTGCTGTGAACCTCCCGGAGGAGGACGGTGTCTCACCCAGAATCCTGAACCGAGCCCAAGTATCAACATGGGAGGGTTCAAACACGAGGGTTCCTCTTACCTCCCTGACATCCTTTCTCAGAAAGCTACTGAAGGATCTGCTCCAGCAAAAACAAAGGAGCTACTTTGCACGTGTCTTCCCAAGAAGGAAGAAGAGCCGGGAGCAGGAGGCCCCTGTGTGACATGGGGACAGAGGCCCAGAGGGTGCAGGGACTCTGCCCTCGTGGGGATGGGGAGGAGAGGCAGAGAACCCACCCTTGTCTTCCGCAGCAATACCATGTCCCACCCCCAGCCCGGGCACAAGCTGCCCCTCCTCCAGAACATTCTCGGTTGGCCCTGGTGGCTGGGCCCTCCCCACAGTGACAATGGCCTCAGGGCCACTCCCTTCCATCCCTTCCTGCCTCATCCTTTTCGCTGAGTGGCAGGCCTTGGACTTGCCTGTGGCCCTGGCCCCGTCTGCAGTGGGCAGGACCGGGGAAAGGCAAACGGCCCAGTTAGGAGACCAATGCCGGAGCTGGGGAGAGCCAAGGGGAGGCCTGATGGGCAGAAGTTCCACGAACAAAATACCCAGCGTGAACCTTAGAATGGACAGATTGGATCGGGTCAGAGCTCCAGCAGAGGCTGCCCTGCCCCCTGACAAATGCACCAAGTGAGTTTGCGCCGACGCTGGGTGGCAGCGTGCACACCTTCCAGAGAGCTCCCCACGCAGGCTGGTGCCCACGCGCTGCTCGAACTGGTCCACGTGAGAAGAGGGAACGTTCTCAACGGCCCTTTCCCTCGCACCCACCCAGACACCGCCACTCAGGAGCCGCGTGGCCACTTGCTCCCGGCCACCCCAGGCCACCCCGCCGACGCACCGGAGGGCGAGTGAGCT